CTTTAATCCATTTTGATCACTTTGAGTCCATTTCATTAGTTTAAAGTTCAGTTTCTCTCTGTATTTTCAAATTCATTTTGACTCAAATCAATAGGTATTGTAGATGGGAATACTTGGATAAAACAAATAAATGATAATAATATAATAAAATTATATTTCATTTTAAGTTTCTATTATGAAAATCAAGATATGTTCTTTAGTTCGCGATCGAGATAAAAATGAAATACAAAATTATAATCAGTTAATTTATATATCTACTTTATATATGGAATATATATTTCTCTCTTTATTTTTATCATTAAAATTATTATTTTTATCGTTAGTGTTGTCATCGATAGTATTATCTTTAACTAAATTTTGAATATCCTTTTTAACGAGTTTCCGCTTATTTGATGAACTTATATCCTCTTCAACATACCGCATAGCTAATAAATCAATTTCACTAAAAACGCATGTTGTTTTGAAACTATTTAAGTTTACATTTTTATTTTTGTTTTTTAATCACCTTCATAAACTGTAGCAACTATTACAATCATACCGCAAACAGTTTCTCTTTTAACATGTTGATTATGAGAAAATTGAAGTGATCGAAGATTTGAAGGTATTTATTGAGATCTAACCAAACATAAAGTTTGCGATCTAAACCCTCCTTCAGCACTTCAGTGTAAAAAATACCTCTAAGGTTTTATCTGTTGTTATAAATACCGTTAATAATATTAACACTTTTCCATTGAGCTTGGTAAGTATAATATTATAAGGTTTCACGGTTTACCATCAATACATATTGTGATATGTTTATTTAGTATAAAATAAGTAGTATGAATCATAACAGCTTTCATTATATTTTATAACGAATATATTTTACAATTTTTTTTTTTCGTTAATCATAAGAATAACCTTGAGTTCATCGTTTCTTGTTTGCCTAATATATTAAAGGTAAACTGTTGATAAAGAACATATTTAAATATACATATATTTTAGTAATCCATTTTATACTTCATAATGTGATTCAATTAAAATGTGGAATAATCTTGAACTCAATGTTGGTGACAAAGAATATATTTATTTTGTATTACCCTATTTACATTTTATAATATGATTCAAATCAAATGCTAATATTATAAATAGAATAACCTTGATATTGATTTCATCATCATTGTTTGTCTTATAAATATATTAATGTTAAGTGGACGATAACGAACCCCCACATATACAACTTACCTACAATCCTCCTTTTTAACAAAACAGAAATATATAAAAGAAAAGTTATCAAATAAAAAATTATTCAGAAAGCCAATTTAAATCAATGACTAACTATTTATTATGTGATGACGTTTTAAACATGAACAAAATATATTTTAATAAGGAGACGAAGAAGCTTTACTTCAAGGCGGAAGACAATATGAACATAGATTCATATATGGAGATGGATCTTTAAAGAAAGGTGGTTGAAGGATCCGTTATTTATCGATAAACTTGAAGATTGTATGGAAACGGATGTTAACGAGTATACGGAACATTATCTATTGAAAAACCAACCAGTTGAATCGTTTTTCGAAATGGGTTACTACAAACCTTTTAACTATACTTTAAAATACTATGATGTAGATTGTAGTAGAGCAACCTTTATGGTGATGTATAAGAATGAAAAATAAGCTATTATTGAAATAAATGAGAATAGTGTTAATATTTATATTAAATCCTATTAAAAAACAAACTCTTTAAGTCGTGAAAGGAAACTTTTTTCCATTTTGTTAGTTCTCAATTATAGAAGTACATTTCGTTTATTGAATTTTTAATAAATATAGAGTATACAAGTACATCTCTTTCGAAATTTCTTAAATCTCTCCTAAACATAAGTATATTTAAAACTTTATTATATGTTCTTTGGTGAAAGTAGGCCTACAGGGGAATCGAACACCAAACAAATAAAAAATAGATAGCGCACCTTTATTGCAAACCTCCCGGGTGGTGTGGAATATGCAACTACTTCAAGTAAAAAAATGTAATACTTATATGAAAAAGTAAGAGTTAATAAGACTATTACTTGTATGAAAATTTGGAACTTATATGAATTAATAAAATTAGTACTAGGATGAAAATTAATGAAATTGTATAAGACAATTACTTGTACGAAAACGAATGATCTTATATGAGTTCCTAAATTTAATACTTGTATGAAAAATTATAACTTGTATGAGGTAATAAATTTTATACTAGTATGAAAACTCACAACTTCTATGAGTTAAAAAGGCTATTAGTTGTGTGAAAAATTTTTAGCAGAACCGAAAATATGCATATGAAAAAAAATATGAAATTGATAAATATAAAATTTGAACAAAATAATGCATGCAAGAAACATTAGATATTTACTCGACTTTTTTGCACATTGAGAAAATCTATGAAAATTTAAAACTTATGTGAATCAAAAAACAATTATTTATTTAATACTTGTATGAAAAATTATTACTTGTAAGAGTTAATAAGACTATTATATGAAGATTTGGAACTTAAATGAGTTAATAAAATTAGTACTTATATTAAAGTTAATGAAAATTGTATAAGTTAATAAATTTAATACAAGCTGTATTTTAAATGGGGTTTTGTATAATTATTAGTTGTATGAAAAATTGCATCAGAACCGAAAATGTACGGGGGGAGGGGAATATGAAATTTTTAGATATGAGAATTCACCAAAATAGTGCATGTAAGAAACATTAGATATTTACTCGGCTTTTATATCATTTATATTGAAAGTGATCACTTATAAAATCCCTGCAGTAAAACTCCAAACTAGTCAGGAAAAATACTAGTTTACAACTAGAATTTCCTGACTGAAACCGAACTAGTTCGGAAATGACCAGACTTGTACCAGGTGCAAAGCGATTTATTCATGCCCTGTTTTATTTGACTTGACAGTTTAATACAATAAAGTACACAAAATATTGTAACTTTTATTTGGGTATATTGTTAACCGTTATTATTAATTAAAGCATGTTTTTTTGAATAACCGTTTAATTAGTAAATGCCGATATTAGCTCCTTTTTAATAGTTACTAATTAAATACAAATTTTTAATTAATTCGTTAGTTTTAATTACATCATTATTTTGTTATTTGATTAATATAATTATTTGATTAATTTCAATTATCAATCAACAAGCTTAAGTATAGACAAAAATTAACAATATTTAATAACTTATTGAATTATTTGTTTATTTTATTCTTATCCAAATCTCAAATTTTAAACATTATTACATTTAAAAACTTTTAAAAAGAAAGGACTGAAATGCGCCAAGTTAATGAATTTAATTTATTTTAATGAAAACTTTTATTTTTTTTAGTTCAAATGAACTAAAGTATTCGTTTTATCTTTAACTAAAATGTTTTCTTTTCCATATTCAATACTATTAAAAAAGATAAAAATATAATGTTTATTGTACTTGAAAGCTTTTACTTTTAATATCATTTAATGGAAAATGCATTTAAATTTATGTTCGAAAGTTTGAAATATTTATGTATTTATTTGTCCTTTTAATTAATACTCAAAAAATTTAACACTAATTATTGGCAAATCTAAGGCTGCTAAATAAAAATATGAAATGTATTAAAGTGTACTTAATCAAAAGTTTTTTATTGTATGTATATTCATGAATTCAAAAAGTAGTGGTTTTGGCCCATAATTAGTCCAGTATTTTTTCTGTCTATTTTCAACTAGTATGAGACTGGTATATTTCTGACCGAAATTGCCATCTCGTAGGACATCCCCATGTTAAAAATACCAGTTGATTGCATGGAAAAAAAGATAGTTGGCTGACTAGTTGGGCATGCGGTTCATACTAGTTGTGAGGTAGTTTACAACTAGTTCATTTGACTACAGGGATAATAAACTATGTATACTATTCTATTAATCAGCTAACTGCTTAAAAAGGCTGTTTTATTAAACAGCTAACTGCTAAACAGGGCTGTTCTATTAAACAGCTAACTGCTAAACAGGGCTGTTCTATTAAACAGATAACGGTTAAACTAGATACTACAATCAAACACAATATGAAAAGCTTTGAAATTAAAGGATTTCTAGAAAGGAATTTTAAATATATATTAGATCATTATAGAAACATTATACAAAATGGATGTATATTAACGGAACAGATGGAAAATGGGTCTTGGATAAAATCTATATATGGAAAACATTTTACGATCTGTCCTTGGTGTAATAATGATACTGAATCAGGACCTGATACATGTAATTGTTTTTTCATAGAAAGACAACATAAAAATGTTGTGAACTTAATAAATTTATATAATAACTATTATAATGAAGAAAACAAGGAAAATATTGATTTAAAAAATCTTATATGTGAGATTAATATATTCAATAAAAATATGTTCAAATAAAACAATAAAACACATATGTATGTATATACTATCATTATAAAATTAAACGTATTTGATATTTATTCATTAAATATGTTAGCAGCGGAATTGGGAAAATTATTAAATATATATAGTTGTATATTGAAAAAAAATATGAGCAGTGCTGCTCATGTTTTACACTTTATGTCGATTCTAACATTCTTATCGACGGGTGGAGCATATTTGAATATTTATATGAGCATTCAGAATGACTCAGAATTCAACATTGAGTTCAAGATTATTCCACATTTTAATTATTATTATTTATTTATTACAGCTCTCTTGAGCCTAATTCATTACAATATATGTAGACTTAACCTAGTTATTTAATAATACATTGCTTAAGCCTAATGAAATCATTTGGAAGGGCATTCATACATGGCAATTACAACTTGAAATTACGGAACAATAGTAAACGGAAAACAGATATAAGGTAATACATTACATTATATTGGGATAGTTTTACAAAATTCAAACAACTTTCTTTTAAACTCATTGATGTTTTTACATTGCTTGACCGTATTTGGTAATTCATTATAACTTTTAAGACCCTTGTAATAAAGATTACATTTATCAGATTCGCTTTTTACATGGGTAAATTGAAGTCATTTTTCTTACGTGTATCTTTGTTGTGCACATTGCTGCCATACTTTAAGTTAATCTTTAGGTATTCTGGTAAATTATCTTCAATAATGTTTTTAACAAATTTCATCGTATAATAAAAGTGCTGTTGTTTCACACTTAGCCAACCAAGGGCTGATAACATGTCTCTAATGGGCGTGTCATATCGTTTTCGAAGAATGAATCTCATTGCTTGGTTCTGTTGTTTCTGCAATTTATAAATTTGGCTATCATTCATTATGAAGAAAATTGTTGGACAATAATTGAGGAGAGGTTTTATTATTGATCCATATACCATTATTTTATATTTCATTTTCAGTAATTTGCAAGTACGTCGCATAAAGTACATTTTTTTTTTGCTATTTTGCTTACGGTATATTCAATATGATCATTGAACTTTAGCTTCTCATCAATTTTTATACCCAAGTACGTAAAGCTCCGCACCCTTTCTATTTTTTGTTGGTTTATGTTTAAATTACGAAGTTCATGCATACCAATATTTCTTCTGGATATGACCATGTATTTGGTTTTACTAACATTTATTTTAAGTTTGTTTAAACATAGCCAATTATATATTTTATTTAAGTCATCTTGTAGTTTTGAAACAATATCAGTAATATGGTCACCACTTAACATGATTAACGTGTCATCAGCGAAAATCATTTATGTATATATTAAATAATATAGGTGCTAGCACTGAGCCTTGAGGTAGACCAACCACTATACTTCTTTTGTCAGATACCGACGATCCAATCTGTGTTCTCTGGTAACGATTTGTAATAAGACTTTGATACCATTTTAGCTCAACGCCCCGTATCCCTATATTACTCATTTATTTAGAAGTAACTCTTGATCTATGGTCTCAAATGCGCGCTTTAAGTCTAAGAAGACAGCAACTATGTATTTATTTCTGCTCAATTCTTCTTTCCAGCGAGCTAACACTATTATTATTAGTACGTCGCGTATACTCGCGCTGCGACCTAAAAGATCTATTGTGCTAAACCCTGATTGTGGTCACTCCAACCTTAGGCTATTCAAGAAATTAAGCACATTGGAGGGTGCCGTGTTCCAAATCTTGGATGGAGAAGACAATCGTTCCCCAAGGTGCATCAGTCTGCTATTCATGATACGCGGGCAGTCACACAGAATGTGCTCCGAGGTTTCCTCCGCCAGCCCACAGAACCTGCAGTCCGTCTCTACAGAAAGCCCCATTTTGTTTAGATGGTACCTTAACTTGCAGTGTCCTGTCAGGTAGCCTGTAATAGTCCTAAGACCCTCCCGGCTGAGTTCACGGAGTCTTTCTGAGTTCCTCTTGGAAGGAGTTATGAATTTCTTTGATTGTCTCATTCCCTTTGACTTACGCCAGTGGGCAGCAATCTGAGATTCCTCCCAACTCCTAAGTAGTTCTGCAGTGTATCCTATAGATGTACCACAGAAAGGCTCGGGACCATGCATTCGCGTTTGGGCCCCACGTTTTGCGAGATAGTCAGCCCTTTCGTTGCCTTCAAACCCTTCATGCCCAGGGACCCACCACAGCGTAACTCTATTATGGGCTCCTAGGCTATTCAGAAGAGTTTTACAACTGTCCACAAGCCTAGATGTCGTTTTAAATGAGTCTAAGGCCCTTAGTGCTGCCTGGCTATCCGACATAATATTTATTCTGGCCCCGTTTGTCCTTCTCCGAAGACATTCTCGAACACAGACTTCGATTGCGAAGATCTCCGCCTGGAATATGGTTGGGTATGAGCCCATTGGCAGACTTTTCTGGAACCTTGGTCCAAGCACGCCTGCCCCAGTACTCCCGTCTTCCATCTTTGATCCATCGGTATACCATACTTGGGACCCTTTGTCAATCATAGATATTATCGCTTTACAGCAGTCCCTTTCAGGAATTCTGACCTTGTAGGGCTTATCAAAGGATAATTTCGGTAGCATGATATCTGTGAGCTTGATAGCGGGATCATCCAGAAAAGGCTTGAGAACCTCCAAGTGACCCCAAAGATCTCCACTCTTCATGCTGATTACATTGGGCAGCCGTATGGAGCTCCAGCAGGCCTCCTTTTCTATCAGAATAGATAGAGGAGGAATGCCTGTAATTATACCGAGGGCATCCGTTGGACAGGTGCGCATAGCTCCTGTGATGGCCACACAGATCAAGCGGTGTAGCTTGCTCAAGGTGGCACACGCACTTGCTTTCTTTGCTTTTGGCCACCAGGCCAGTGCCGCATATGTGACAACAGGTTTCACGACCGTATTGAAAGACCAATACGTTAGTTTGGGTGATATTCCCCAAGTTTTACCATGGAGTCTCTGGCAGGCATAAAACGCCCTTGTAGCCTTGTTGGTAATGTTAAGGAGATGTGAGTTCCAATTGAGCCTTTTGTCCAGAGTTACCCCTAGATACTTCGCCTCTTCTGAGAACTCAATTTCTGTCCCTGCCAAAGTGGGTTTAGTCAAGTTGACTTTCCTTCTATTGGTAAATGGGACAACGGTGGACTTCTGCGGGTTTATTGACAATCTCTTTGAAGCACACCAGTCTTCCGTTAGACTGAGCGCAGCTTGCAATCTGGAACAAATTGTGTCCTCATGCCAGCCGACAACGTAGATGACTAGGTCATCTGCATATCCATATGCCTTGAATCCATTGCCATTTAGCTTTTCAAGAAGTTCGTCAACAACCAGTGTCCAAAGTAGGGGCGATAAGACTCCCCCTTGAGGACAGCCACGGGTGGCATTTACTGCTTGCCTGTCGTCTCCTAGTTCCGCTATTATGGTTCTGGACCTCAACATGCTTATGATCCAATCCGTTAGAAGGACAGGAATATCCTTTCGTATCATAGCTGTCGATATTGCTTCATAAGACGTATTGTCGAAAGCACCTGATATGTCCAGGAATGCACACAAAGCTATCTGTTTATACCGCAATGCCTTTTCAATGACTTGAGTTAGGCTATGTATTGCAGTAATAGTAGATTTGCCTGCCTGGTATGCGTGCTGACTCTGACACAGAGGCTTATTCCTGAGAAAGTTATCCCTTATGTGAAAGTCAATAAGTTTTTCTAGTGTCTTTACTAGAAAGGAACTGAGGCTAATTGGCCTGTACGCCTTTGGGAGTTGTGCTGAGTTTTTCCCCACTTTGGGTATAAAGACCACTTTGACTTCACTCCATGTTGTTGGTATGTGAGCAAGTAAGAGACTTGCTCTCAGCAATCTGACTAGTGGCCCTGATATTAAGCCCAAGCTCTGCTGCCGCAGGCATGGGAAGATACCATCTGGACCAGGGGATTTATATGCACTAAAGGTTGAAATGGCCCACGATATCTTTTCCACACTGACGATTCTTCCTGCTAGGCCTCTAGTCCTCCTGTTTGCGCACACAGCGTTCGCCGTGTTTGTCGAAGGACATGTGCCTTGTGGAATACATCCCGGGAAGTGGGTTTCTAGCAGAAGCCTGCTGGTTTCTTCCGGGGTGCCAGTGTAGGTACCATCTGGTCTTTTCAAAGTGCATAGGACTTTCGGATGATCTAGTTTAAGGGCCTTCTGAAGGCGATGCACCTCTGGAAGAGAGGAAATACTTCCGCAGTGCTCACGCCACGTAGCCCTTTTAGACCTTCTGAGCTCACAGTTGTAAGCGGTTAGGGCTGACTTGTAGGCGGTCCAGTCACCTGTTGACTTTGCCCTATTGAAAAGTTTCCTGGCTCTTTTCCTTAGTTTTCCGAGAGAATCGCTCCACCAAGGGACATCCCTTTGAGACTTCTTGGTTCTCAGTGGGCAGCTCTCTTCAAAACCTTGTTTAAGAACATCTTGGAACTTTCTCGCCTCGTCCTCAAGTTCATAGACGGATGAAATTGGTGCGGTAGAACCATTCACTTCCCGCTCTATGTGGAGGCGAAAGAGTTCCCAATTTGTTTTTCTGGGATTTCTGTAAACATGGTTTGTTACTCTTTGGGCTTCTATATCGAATCGAATATGCCGGTGGTCCGACATAGATACCTCATTTGAGACATGCCAGTTTGAGATAAAGGTCGACAAGCTAGTTGAGGAAATTGTCAAGTCTAGAACCTCCCCTCTTATAGCATTGACAAAGGTCGGCTCATTACCCCGGTTAAGAATAAATAAGTTGTTCTTAGTGATAAATTCAAGAAATGACTCACCTCTAGAATTGGTGTCCGAGCTGCCCCAAACACAGTGATGGGCATTGGCGTCACAGCTCATTATTAGTTTCAGCTTTCTCCTTCTGCAGTACTCCTCTAGGGCTATTACTTCCCTTGTGGGCATCTCACAGCGGTCGCCTGGGAGGTAAGCTGAAGCGAGAACGACCTCTTGTTCTCCCATTTGAGTGGGCACTTTAGTCCATACAGCAGCTAAGTCCTGTTGTGTCAACTCTGAAATGGGAACAAAAGTCATGTTATTACGTAGTAATATGGCCGCTCTGGGCCTGCAGTGTGTGGTATCGTAGATTATCTTACCATCACAGTCGTTTAGGCCTTTAATAGCCCCGGCGAAAACCCACGGTTCTTGGATGAATGCGACATCCAAGAGTTCTGTTTTGAACCTCCTGCATAAGACGTCAGAGGCCGCCTTTGCATGATGGAGGTTCACTTGCAGGCACTTGATGTGCCTAGGCCTATCGCTTGGGGGGTTTGCCATTTTTCGGCCTTGAAGCCCGCTTGGCCATCTTTTTCCCCCTATTGGTGGCCATCAGGGTCCTCTCCTCCATTGAAATCTCCCCTCGACCTTGTCTCCGATTCGCATTTAGCGGAGGACGGAAGGGATTTTGGGCGAAAGGGGCCTTTGATCTCTCTGGGCTGGAAGGTACCCTCTTTTCCGTGCCAGGAGTGTCTTCTGAGCAGCAGGGCCGCTCTATGGACTCCTGGACAGGTGCTTTTTCCCTCTCCGCTGCCCCTGACTGCTCTGAAGGTAACCTTTGCAGTCCCTTGGGTACGTCCTTGGAACCGCAAGGTCCCTCTTTGAAGCACGCACTTTGTGCAGCGGAGGAGGAACTGGCTATAGCAGGCTGCGCACCCTTCGGGTCTGACGACTCAGTCGTCTTCCCTTTTTTATGGATGCGCACCCTGCCATATCCATAATTGACTAAGTATCCCAGCCTGTCGAGTGTCTCCGCTGAGTGCGGGTCAACCGCTAGAGTGAGCTCAGTGGTGGGTCCCTTCTGTACCCTGTTGAGCACCCTCCAGCTACCTACCCGCAGCCCTTCGTTCTGACCCTCGACAAGGCCAAGGATACTGTCCACTGGAGTGGTTGATGGCTCCGGAAAGTACCCAACGTACACACTGGGTTTGGGCACGTCAGTGGCATTCATTGCCACAATTTCCGCGCCCTTCCAAGGCTTCAGGGTTTGGGATACCTTGCGCAGCCATTCCAGCGTTATAGCGTCTCCGCAGACAATGGACATCCATCCCGGACGGAAGGTGCAACCGCTAAACTTGGGCTTCACAGAGCCCTTTCGCTGCCGCCTCACCTCCTCCAGGATGGCCGTCTGAATGGCCTGTAATTGGTCTAAGGACCAAAGTGCCTTAGGGTACCCTTTGGGGAGTAACCCTAACTTAACCCCATTACCAGTGTCCGCCTGACAGGTCGGCGCCTTTGTGACATCGGCAAAAGTTGCCTTAACACTAGGTACCTTTGGTCCCATATGGGCCCTTTTGTCAGCTGGACCTGGTTTCCGTTTGGGAGAGTTCTCCACCGGGGAAGATGTGAGGTTGACCGATCGGTTCCTCTTAAGCTTTGTGCCAGCCAGCAAAGCCAGTTCGGCTTTTCCTTTTGCCATCGGAATAGTGGCTAGCCGTTTGGCCTCGCTTTCGCTGACACCTCTGGAGAGGTAGAATTTGTAGCGCTTTTTACCTGCTCCAGAGAGTTTTCTTTTAGGAGTACTAGCCTCCTCCTGCTGTGACGATAAGAGCGCCTCCTCCTCGTCTGTGGGTATTTGGATGTCGTTGCCATTTGAACCAGAGTCCATTTTGGCAGTATCGACATCCATGGCCACCGGGTTGCTGAGAAGGCCGTTTGGATCAAAGTCCATTTCGTCCATTACAGCGTCCCGAGAGGGTTGAGCGCTAACACTAAGTTTAGTGCAGTTTCACACGAGTGCCTTTTTTTAAAACCAGACTGTTGTGGCATTAATATTTTATTAGTTTCTAAATATTCTATTAGTTGCTTTTTAACTACCGTTTCAAGAATTTTTTCATCACTAGGCAACGTATTAATTGGTCTCATCTCGTCGGCTCTGATTGTGTTCTTGACTTTCTCAATTGGCACAACAATAGATGTTTTCCAGTGATCAGGAACAACACCATATTTTAGACTTTCATTAATTAACTGCGTGTAAAAGTACCCTGTATATGTTATAGAGTCTTTTATGACTCCCTCAGATAATAGTTTTCTTCCTCCAATTTTATTTTTAAAACCATTGACAATTTCAATCACTTCATCGGTTTCGATTTCTATAAGTTTAAAGTTTTGTGTGCAATTTGGAGTCGTAAAGGATTCTTTTTTACCAGGTCCTATATTTGAGGTAATTTCAATAATGCTGTCAATAAAGTAGTTATTAGTGATTGTACAATCTCATTTTCTAAAACTCACTTTACATTTCCTACAATCCAATTTACGTTTTCTAAAATCCAATTTACGTTTTCTTAAATCCAGTTGACTATTCCAAAATCCAATTTACGCTTTCAGAAATCCAGTTGACTATTCTAAAATCCAATTTACGCTTCCTAAAGTCCAGTTGAGTATTCTAAAATCCAATTTTTTTTTTTTTTTTTTTTTTTTTTTTTTT